TTGGAACTATTTTATTCATTTCATTTTTTGCTTGTTTATTACTTTTGTGTAGAATACAATAGACTTTCATGTATTGTCTTGCAATCTTGCTAACTGATTTATTAATTCTAAGAGGTTCTTAGTGGATTCTTTAGGATTTACTAGATACAGGATGATCACTGCAAACAGAGATGGTTTTATTAACATTTTGCAATCTTCATTTCTTTATTTATTTTTCTTCTTTAAGTGCACTGGCTAAAATCTCTAATATAAAGTTAAATCATAATGGTAAGAGTGGATGTACTTGTCTTCTCCTGATCTTAGGGAAAAGCATTCAGTCTTTCAGCTTTAAGAATGGTATTAGTTGCATTTTTTAAAATAGATGCTCTTTATGAGATTAAATAAGTTCATTTCTATTCCTAGTCTGTTGAGTGTTTTATTATGAAAAATGTTGATTTTTAGTAAATGCTTGTTCTGCATCTGTTGAGATGATCATGTTGCAATACAATGTTAGCCTGAAGAATGAGTTGAAAAGTGTTTCCTTCTCCAGAGTTTTTGGAAGATTTTGTGAAGAATTAGTATTAATTATTTAAATGTTTGGTAGTGGTGGTGATAGGGAAGCCTGAATTTTTTGTTTGTTGTTGAAAATTTTTTGATTACTAATTTAATCTTTCTAATAGCTGTGTATTCAGTTTTTCTATATATTCTTTAGTTAGTTTTTACATTTATGTCTGGTTAGGAATTTGTCATTTCATCTAAGTTACTAACTTTTTGACATACAATTGCTCAATAATCCCCCTGTAATCCTTTTTATTGCTGAGAGGTCATTAATGATATTCTTTTATTCCTGATTTTAGTTAAGTCTCCCTCTCCACTTCACTTAGAAAATTCAGCTAAAAGTTTTGTCAATTTTGTTGGTCTTTTCAAAGAATCAACTTTAAAAATTTTCCTGTTGGTTTTCTACTCTTTATTTCATTATTTATTGCTCTGATCTATATTATTTCCTTCCTTTTTCTTGCTTTGGGTAGAGTTTGTTCCTCCCTTTTCACCCTCTGAAGGTAGAAGACTAGGTTATTGTTCTAAGATCTTGATTTTCTAGTATAGGCAGATACATTTCCCTCAAGCACTGCTTTATTTGCATTTCATAAGTTATAGTATCTTGTGGTTTTATTTCCATTCATCTCAAAATATTTTCTAAAATTTCTTATGTGATTTCCTCTGTTACTCATTGATATTATGGGAATGTGTTTTTTACCATTGACATATTTTTGAGTTCCAAATATGCTTCTGTTAGTTTAATTTCATCCTGTTGTGATTTGGGAATATATTTTGTATGAAGTCACTTAAAATTTTATTTTAGCATTTTTAATGCTGTAGGATATGGTCTGTTCTAGAGAATGTTCTATGTGTATTTGAGAAAAATGTTCATTTGTTGTTTTTAGCTGTGTTAGATATTGTTGGTTTATATTGTCATTTTAATTTATATCCTATTTAGTTGTTTAATCCACTATTAAAATTTGCTGATTTCAGTTTACTATTATTTATTCTTGAATTGCCTATTTCTACCTTCAAAACTGTCACTTTGGCAGTTCTGTTGTTAGGTGCAATGTATACATATATAATTTTTACATCTTCCCAATGTCTTGCCTCTTTTCTTATTATGAAATATCCCTCTTTTTCTCTAATATTTTTTTGTTTTAAAGTATATTTAAAATATACTTTCTTATATGAATATAATTACTCCAATATTCTTATGGCTGCTAGTTGCATGATCTTTTTCCATGGTTTTATTTTAATATATTTGTATTTCTGATTCTAGAGTGTGTTAGTAGATCTCTTTCAATTAGTGATGAATGATCATTTTTACCAGTGAAAGTGTTGTCTATAATAAGGGGGTAATATATTATTTCATTTGTATGATTTATATAATTAGTATTATTGTTTTTTAAATGTTTATATATCTCATATTGTTATCCTGGATAATGTAGTTATATTAATCAGATATAATCCCCTGTTATACAAAATTAAAATATAATTTAACAAATTTATTATCTTAATTTTCCTACTTATTTGAGAAGAGGATAAAATATATTTATTTTATAGCAAGATACCACATGTCTATAAACTTAAATTTGAACTTTAAATCTCACTTTTTTTAAGAGTAAATTAATGTTTTAAGAAATCCCTTTCAGGTTAACATATAGATTAAACCTTAGTTTTATATCAGTACATTAGTATTTGACCATAGAGAAAACCTTTAAATAGCTTTAACTGATTGTTCTACATACATATAACCAACTTAGTTACACATAAACTTGTTGAAATTTGCCCTTTACTTACATAGACCCCCATGTTGTTTATTTCTTTTTTAAATTGATTCTAAAAAATATAAATGGCAGTGAGTGGACTGTTTTACAATTCATATATATATATAATATATATCTCACAATTTTACATTAAATAATTTTAAATTCTAACAATAAATTTGAAGTTTGCTGATTCAAGCCATTACATCACAAGTTTTGACTATAGTAATAGAAGGCTGCTAGATATTCCCTGTTCTCATGGTAGTATCTTCCTTGAAATTCTGTTGAAAAGGAGTGGAAAATTTTTAGCCACTGCAATGTCTCAATTATTTTCTTTTAACATTATTTAGAACTCTTGTAAGATGATTAACATTGTATATGCATATGCTGCAGGAAAGGATAGTTTCTAAAAATGACTCAATAGCAGGTGGAATTAATGAATAAGAATATTTATGAATGTCAACTGGATGAAATAGGAAATGTGAGTTTTTTTAAGATATCTTTTGCAAAGAAAGGTTTAGCAAAATTCAAAGGAGTCAAAGTAGAAACTGTCTGATATAACAATGACTGATAATAATGTGGATAATTTCCATAGGTGATTTGTATAGAGAACTTAACTGTGTGTCAGACACAGTTCTAACATTTTTACATATGAGCCAAAGATTAGATCATTACATAGACTTACATGAATTGGTAGTGCTAATAGGATCAACCTTTATTTATAATTTCAAGGACATAAGCAATTAAGAGGCACAGGTAAAGCAGATTCCTGGATATTGAGAGAGCAACCAGATTCTTTCTTACCACCATAGATAAAACTCTCAGGTTCAGAGCAGAAGATTTTTTTTATGACACTAGTATGGCAATATGTAAATCAATGGATGTGTAATTGATGTGATTCTGCAATCTGTATATGGGCTAAAAATGGGAGTTCATAACTCACTTGAAGCAAAGTGTGAAAGATGATATATCAAGAACTATGTAATGTTTTGAACAACCAACAATAAAAAAAAAATAAAATATTTTAAAAATAAAAAAAAAAAGAAATTATATAGGCTGTCTCATATAGAAAGCAGCATTATAGGCCATGAAATATCTTTATTTTATATCCAGATAATTGTCTAGCTCATGCCCCATGTCCTATAAACCTATAGATTCTAGGTTTGTCATAGTAATCCTAAACCGGAGATATCTTGATAAAAGTCTTTAATAGAGAAGCAGTCTTTTTTCTTTTCTTTTCTTTTTTAAGTAAATGCTATTAGGTTATTTTCCAACTATTAGCTTGATCATAAGAAAATTAGGTCAAGCTCTCCAACTTCTGAGAGAGCTTTGTACCTAACAAAACAGTATTGCTTTACTCCTTCCTTTCCAACAGATAAACTTATTTAAATTCAAATTCAATTACTTATTTATTGTTTAGAACAAACAAGGTCAAATATATTAAACGAAGAACTTCTGATATGTTTTAAAAATCTTTTATTTCATGGTTTGGTATAATTTGGTTATAGGATTGGGGAAAGAAATATAGTGCTAAATATACAATAAAATAAGTATATTCCCATCACAGATACCTCAATAGTAATTTGTGATTTATTTGTGAGTGTGTTTGTGTGTTGTGTATGTGCATGTATACTTCATATATAGTTTTTTAAAATTTGTTTTAAGTAGTTATACATGACCACAGAATGCATTTTGATTCATTATATACAAATGGAGTACAATTTTTCATTTTTCTGGTTGTACATGATATAGAGTCGCACCATTCATGCAGTCATATATATACTTGGGATAATGATGTCTATCTCATTCCGCCATTTTCCAACTCCCATGCTCCCTTCCCTCCCTTCACTCCCCTCCACCCAATCCAAATTCCTCCATTTTTCCCTTCCCTTGCCCCCCCCACCCTGCCCATTATGGATCAGCATTATCATCAACATATCAGAGAAAACATTTGGCCATTGGTTTTGGGATTGGCTTATTTAGCTTAGCATGATATTCTCCAACTCCATCCATTTACCTGAAAATGCCATAATTTCATTCTTCTTTAAGGCTGACTCATATTCCTTTGTGTTATATACCACATTTTCTTTATCCATTCATCTATTGAAGAGAATCTAGATTGGTCCCACAGTTTAGCTTTTGTAAATTGTGCTGTTATTAATATTCATGTGGCTGCATCACTATAGTATGCTGATTTTAAATCTTTTGGGTATAGACTGAGGAGTGGGTTAGCTGGGACAAATGGTTGTTCCATTCCAAATTTTCTAAAGAATCTCCATACTGCTTTCCAGAATTGTTGCACCAATTTGCAGTCTTACCAACAATGTATGAGTGTACCTTTTCCCCTACATCCTCGCCAACACTTACTGTTGTTTGTATTCTTGATAATTACCATTCTGAGGGGAGTGAGATGGATTCTCACTAGAGTTTTAATTTGCATTTCTGTAATTACTAGAGATGTTGAACATTTTTTAATATATTTGTTGATTGATTTTATATCTTCTCTTGAGAAGTGTCTGTTCAGTTCCTTAGCCCATTTATTTTTTTTAAATTGAGTTATTTGGTTTTTTTGGTGTTAAGTTTTTTGAGTTCTTTGTATAACCTGGAGATACATATATAGTTACTTCCTTTATTTAAACTTAGAATATTTAATGAATAACATAATGTTTTAATTTTCAATTTTCTCTATTTTTCTCAATCCAACTTTCAAATCAGGATGGTGATCCAGTTCGCCCAGGAGTGGCCATGACTGATCTTGCCACTGGCCTGTATGCATATGGAGCCATTATGGCTGGATTGATACAAAGATATAAAACTGGAAGAGGACTGTTCATTGATTGTAACCTACTGTCATCTCAGGTACCAATTCAAATAAGATTTTCAGTAATAGTTAACAAGTATGTGTTTGAGTTACATTTTTATATTAAATCCTATGGTTACATGTGCAAAAAACCCCCACTAAAACCGAAAAAGTAAAACAACAGGCGAAAGAAGCAACAGAAAATCATAACAAAAATTGTTCTGTTTTGATCCATGTTTTCATATTAAAATGAACAAACCATGAATATTTTGTTGTAATATGGATGTTATTGAGGTAGAATTTTAAAGACTTCTTACTAGAATATTTTAGTTTTATTGTGAGCCAATGGTGTAGTTTCTCCTACTTTATTGTCACATGAACTTTGTAACTACTATTCATTAGAGCTTCTTCACCTTTTATGTGCCTTGGACCCCTTTGGTAGTCTGGTAAAATTTGTGAGCTTATCTTGAAATCATATTTTTAAATTAATAAAATGAGATACTCAGTGTTACAAAGGAAGCCAATATATTTCAATGTAAAAATAATTTTTATATTATAATAACGTGATTTTTACTAACATATTAAACTGGAAGATATAGCAATGGGTCTAATACCATTACAATATTGAGACATGGTTGAGCATAGATGATATTTCAAGAAATCTGTAATAACTAATATGATATGAAAATATATATAATATATATTGGTGATAAAGTCATAGGTAGTGCTAATATTCTGGTGATTTTGTTATCTATATTCATAATTGAAGAAAATGCTACATTTTTGTTAGAGATTTATGAAAATAAAGATATAACTTTTCTCATTAAAGTTAATTAACTTCCAGAATTCTGTCAATGAATTCCAGATTAACACCCCTAGTTTAGACAGTTATCAGTTATGTTGTGCTAAATACTAAACTGTTGAAATGAAAGGGTTAATGCACTCTCAACATGACATTTTGCCTCCTTTTTACTGGATCAGACCCAGATGCTATACCATATGTGGAAGTTGATTCTGAATAGATAATTTTTCAGGGTAGAAAAAAGAAAATATCTAATTTGTGCAAGGAGACATTTTACTGTGGGAAAAATTACTTTCTAGACATAGAGACCTCAGTTGGGAATTTCAGATTTAAATGGCATACATGGGAAAATTGTAAACTTGGAACACTGCTTTGGAGATTTTTTTCTCTTAGGAAAAATTAAGGAGGTGTATGGAAATAAAAAAAAAATCAATAAGGTTGAAGGTGAAACACTTTGTATGGGTTTTTAACAGCAGCTTTGAGTCACATTTAGAATTTTAATGGTTTTATAAAAGGATTAAAGAACTCTCTTCAAATGAGTAGTTTTGTTCCTTTACAGAGAAATGCTTGTTATGAGAAGGAGCTGAAAATCTTTTCTTTCCTTTCTTAATTTTAGAGTGTAAGGCACCTCAAACCTCAGGTAGGTTAAATTATTGCACAAATATAGCACATCTAATAAGTATAGAAGCCATGAAGTTTTGATGGGTGTGTGACCTGTACAGTCAAGAGGGTCTGGGCTTAGTATAAATGTCCTGTTTTAACTGTCTTGAAATTCTTAGAAATTTTTGAACAAAAGACCTATATTTTAAATTTTGCACAGGTCTCCCAAATTATGTAGCAGGTCCTGGAATTGGGACTCTACTTAAGTCTCCTGATCTCTACATAAGACTACTTTATATTTCAATTATTAATTAATTTAAATTGGAAAAAAGTTGTATCATAGGGTTTAAATATTTTCTAACATCTAACTAGAAATTCACCATGTGGAGTGTTTTTCTGTGGGGGAGCATTTGGAGGAGGATGGAATCACCTCTAGAGCTGCTTCAAAGTGAGTGTACACTCATGCATACATATACACAGATATAGATTTTAGTCATTTTTTGTGTGTGTTGTGTGTTTGTATGTTTGTTGCCCATGTTTATCCTTGAGACTGTTAAGTTTCATGAGTGTAGGGACAGTGTTTGTTTTTGTTTTCCATGGTATTCTCAATGTCTTGCCTAGTGTTAGTCAACCGTAACTTTTCATAACAGAAAAATCTTAAACTTCACTTTGTATTTCAATTTGAGATAACATTCTATATTCAAAAAGAAAAAACACCAATCAAACCACAAAATGATTAAAATGTGCTTTATGTAAATGAGATGGTTATTTCTAGATAGTTTTCATAGTAGCATAATAGGAAACTTTATCCCTTCTTTTTTAGTGTGTATATATATACACACATGCTCACCTGCATTAAACACAACATTTGTACATAATTTTAGCTGCCTGGAAAATAAGTTTGATTTTATGCAGAGGTAAAAACACACTTTTCTACTTGTTTTGATTGCATTTCATAGGATAACATATGAATTATTTGTCAGCTGACAAAAATGAATCCTGTACTTCTCTTCAAAGTGATCTAGTGTACAATATACAAATTATACTTGATTTGACTAGTAGCTAATTATTAACTCAGAGATAATTGCCTCAACCACAACAAAACCATTTCAAGTAGTTCCTTGTGGAGACATGACAACTGTCGGGATGTGGTTTATAGTGGGCATCAAAATTTTTGTAGTTTCAAGGGTATAAACTTTTAACCCTTGTCATAAAATTCTTTTGATTTTTTTTAGTCTTAATATGATTTAAAGTTGTTCACTTGAGATTGTCTAATGTCAGAATCTAAATTGTGTTCTTAGATGATATTGGTAAACAACAAGGAAGTGGGTTGGGATGTGGTTCCAATTACTGTGTTGCTCTTATTCCTCTATTGTGGCTCACAGAAATATCTTTTGGAAGTTTTAATATCCTTCCTGTACTTAATTGTAACCAGGCTCCCTTAATTACTTGCTACAGTGAGTTAGTTTTTTAGCACCATAATTATTTTCATGTATAGGACATTTTGTTGTTTGCGATACCACAGTCCTTTCCCCAAATTTGTATATTGTTTGTACTAAGTATATCTGAACATATTACTCATTATTTTAGCATGTTTTTGTCAATAAACTTTTGAATCTCAAACAAGTATATTTTTTCACTTGAATTTTATAAATTCATCTTTTTGTATCTTCATATACCTATACTTCAGCTTTCCATTTCACTCTTTTTCAAAAGTAATTTTATTCAGGTGTATATCACAAATAAAATTCACCCTATACTGCTACAGGTTAATGATTTTTAGTAAATTGAGTGAGTTATGCAACTATTACTATAAATTGCGGTTGGAAATGAATACTCATATAATCACCTCTGTTCTGGGCTTAACCGTGAGGCTGAGGTGGACAAGTGTTGAGTAGGTAGAAATCGGGCAGGAAATGACTCAGGAGAATTCAGGGTCCATTTTGACTTCTGTGGATCCTAGGAACTTTTGTGTTGCTGGGCTCTTTCCTATATAATAATACTTTAAAAATGTGTTCTATAACAGCATTGATATAAAAGTACAAATATGACACATTATTATATGTTTATTATCATTACATTCATTTTTATTCTGATTTTAAAAGAAAATGAAGACATTTCTGTATACTTCTAAATCATTGTGAATATTGGACATTGTGCCTAATCATGAAGTTATTGTGAAGAATTATGTTGAGAATAATTGATAAGTTGGCAAATTTGTGGGGAGAGAAAGTTATATATTCAAGAAAGAAGTGAAGACTGAAAGCTGAGCTTATGCTGAAGCAGGGGCAGAGGACTGAAGAGTAGAGAGGCACATAGTCTATGACCAAAGAAACTGAGACAATAGAGTATAGAAAGAGAGCTCAAGAAATTAGGGAACTGTAGTTTTTGTTTTTTTAAATATTTTTATTAGTTGTTGATGGACCTTTATTTTATTTATTTATTTACATGTGGTGCTGAGGATCGAACCCAGTGCCTCACACATGCTAGGCAAGTGCTCTATCACTGAGCCACAACCCAGCCCAGGAACTGTAGTTTTGCATTTGAATTTCCCTTTTTTTGGGGGGTGGGGGAAGTCTGTTGCTTTCCAGTCTTAAAGGTGCTTATCAGCCTAACAATACTTAATTTTCTGTGGCCAATTTTTTTTTAAATATTTATTTTTTAGTTGTACAGAACACCTTTGTTTTGTTTATTTATTTTTATGTTGTGCTGAGGATCAAACCCAAGGCCTCTCACGTGCTGGGCAAGTGCTCTACCGCTGAGCCACAACCACAGTCCAACCAATTTTTAATTCTAGTCCAGCTTTCATTCTTTAACCAGCATTTTCCCTAAGACCTGTCATTACTCTATTGACTTAAACTCAGGGGATACAAATGGATATTAACATTAATCTGCAGTACCACATGAATTTGAGGATTTTTTTTAATTCTATGAAAAATGTCATTAGAATTTTAATAGGGATAACACTCAACCTGTAGATTGCTTATTACTTTAACAATGGATAATATTTTAATCCATGAATACAGGATATCTTGTCATTTGTTTGTGTCTTTTTCCATTTTTTCAACAATGTTTATAGTTTTCAGTGTATGGATCTTTCATCTCTTGGTTAAATTTTGTTTTATTTTGTTTTGTTCTTGATATTATTATAAAAAAGCTTATGTTCTTGATATTTTTTGGATATTTTGTTGTCAGTATATACAATACTCTTTGTTTTTATAAATTGATTTTGTATCCTACAACTGTGCTTATTAGTTGTAACAGTTGTTTGGTGCAGTTTTTAGGGTTTTTTGTATATTAAATCATGTTATCTGCAAGCAGGAAATTTTACTTCTTCCCTTCTAGTTTGGGATACCTTTTATTTGTCTTGTTTAATTGTTCTGTCTAGGACTTCCAGTATCATATTATTCTTCTCTTGTTCCTGATCTTACAGGAAAAACTTACACCTTTTCACTGTTATGCTCTTCATTGCATGCTTGTGATATGTGGCCTTTATTGCATCAAAGTATATTTCTTTTATACCTAATTTGTAGAGTTTTTATCATGAAAGGATGTTGAACTTTGTCAATGCTTCATATGCAACAATGTAGGTGATTATATTTTTTATCCTTCATTCTGTTAATGTAACCAAAACAGTTTTGAATGAAAAGAATAAAG